AGCGGTCTTTGTGGTGACCTTTCAATTTTTACAATTAACCCAAAGAACAAGCCAGAAAAGTGATACTTGCGTGGACTCTCCTCCCACTTCTCTTTTTGCTTGTTTGTTTTCTTTTGGGTTTTTTTTCCCTTTTTTTTGCCATTATCATACACTTTTAAGTCCCTCCTACACTTTAAGTGTGTAGGTTTTTGTTAGTTGTTTAATAGAACTTGATATAACATTTCTTTGACACAATGAAAACAAAATTGGAAAAAGGTATTCTTATTACAAATACATTCTCTCAAAAATACCAATGAACGACTCACTTAAAAGTTTGCTAGATGTGTTTGTCAAATTCTGATGGCACTCCCGTGTAGACAATTATTAACTTATATCGCTCGTTTCGACCATGCAGAAGGAAATTGGCGAACGAGCATGATCAGTGCAAGTTTTCACTTTACCCGAGCTTTGAACTGGTCCCCTTGGTGGTTCGGACGAAAACAAACTGTGAACGGGAGAAAATTATTATGATACGGAGACTAAACTTAAACAAAAGAAGGAATAAAATTTGCACCTTTTTCCACCTGCTTTGTTTGATGAACATCAAGAAGCAAACTTCTTTAGGTAAATTCAAGTACAATTTGAATTAAACTCCCATGCCGCTCCTGTTTAGTAAACCTTTGAATTGAAAGGCTCGGCTAAGCTATGCAGAAGAAACTTTGGCGAACCAGCATGATCCGCGTATGAGTTCAAAAATTCAGTCATTGTTATTCTTTAGCCGGGTTGCTAACAGGTTCTCCTTAGTGGTTCAAACACGAACGCACAAAAGAAAGAAAAAATACATTTTCTATCTTTCTCGGGCATTGGCTCACCTCCAGGCCCCACACACCGCTCAAGTTGGCCATGTCATTTCATTCGAAGTACCCAACTCAGGGAGCTAAATTTGATTCGGTTCTTCAAACACGATTAAAACATGCGATGCAACATAAATGGTGTGGCAGAATCAGTCTCTAACTTTATTATACAGCAACACATTCATGGTTATTTTTGGGTAACTCATGAGCCACAATAGGGGAAACAGGTGGAATGTACATGAGTAAGTTAGTCTCCTTCCAATATTTTCTTTGTTTACGTAGGAAAATAAAAAAAAGAAGTTATCGTGGTTCCTACTGTATTTAAATATTTTTTTAGATGTTGTCAATGTCGCCTCAGTTCAATGACATTTTTACAGTATATAACAATGTTTCTATTCTCGTGATGTAGCGTAGACAAAGCGTCAAAGAAAGAAAAGGTGATCACCATCTATTAACATAACTTTAGGGACAAAGAGATAAATTCAAACAGAGTAAGTGGTAACTATTCCTCAAATAACAACATATGCGAGTAGCATTTTTATCTCCAATATAACAATTTTAATGGAGCTATTAGAATTAAGTCTAGCCAAGAACAAAATGTTCTCGCAAACCAAAGTAAGGCAACGAGAGTAAGGAACTTTCACTTACAAGAATATGTTCTGAATAGTTCATGGTTTTATATTTTTACTAAATTTGTTATTGATTTCCTTTCCATTTTATAAATAATGACGCCTTTTGGCAAACCGAGTCGTATACCATTATATTGCAAGTCGGCAAATAGACAATAATTGTCCGTTGAAGAAAAAAATTCGTAAACAAAATTCGGAGAAAAAAACAAGAAGTAAATTATTTTCTTTTTGTTTTGTAAGAAATTGTTACCCTTAGTCTTCCGCTAATTTTTTTTTTTTAATATTTTTAAGGTTTACTGAGCATCAGTATTTTTACTGAGTAGATCAGTATGTACAGGAAGACGACTTATTTTCCTAAAACTGACTGAAATTGTTACTGAGCATGCTCCTATGTGTCTTGGGTAACTTCAGGTAGAATGCGAGGAGAAGAAGGGAGCGAGGCTTTATGTCAGTAAGGAAGGAGAAAAAAAAATGGTTAAAATTCTAATTTGCAGCTTCGAATAATTTCATTTGTTACATGAGTCATAATAAAAAACGATATCACTCCCTTTTCTGAAACAAGATCCTGTCATTACCGCCCACGTTGAACATATATGCTACTAAGCACGATGCCTTCATTTTGACCGGGTGGATCAACATGGTTCTTGTGCTTTTCACAAAAGGCTTTTGATAATTTGCCTTCATCACAAGGGTTTATAACACTTTTTTTACTTAGCACAGGTTTGGCTTGCCTTATTAAAATGGAAAACCGAGAACCACTGTCACTTAACAACATAGTGTCTGAACTTGAAGCAAAAGGCCTTTTATAATTTTCATTCATCAGGAAAGTTGAGAGCAGGTTTTTTTCTTTTGTTTTTATATTTTATTCATTTATTCTGGATGAGGGACAAGTTTTGCTAGCCTTATTTGAATGTATGAACCGGAGACCACACAAGTAAGAGACTCGTTCAGCATTTATTTACTTAATTAATTAAAAAAACAAAAGCAAAACACTTTCTATGGAGCTCAAAACTACTTCATAAAGTCGGCATTAACATCAAATTTAAGTTACATTCATTTTCAGCGTCGTTGTATATTAGTAGGATCCCTAAAGATGCTCAACTTGCTGGCCCCTCAGGTGTGCGTCTTCATCTAGCAGAATCTGTTTGTCATCGAGCCGTCCAGCAATGGAGCGGACACTTCGTTCCCGCTTTCCGTTCGACTTACCGTTACAACTCTAAAAATTTAAAATAAAGTATAATTGCAACCATACCTTCTTGAAACATGAAGAGCTCCTAAAGATCAGAATAATTTTTGCTTTTAAAATTAAGCTAGTTTTTTTCACTCGTGATTAAAGAGCACCAGGTAATTTTTTGCTGTAATTCAGTTCTCTCTTTACCAATTTTACTTCCTGCTTTTTTTAGTCCACATTAAAAAGATAAATCGTAGTTTCTTATGTATTTATCGGCTTACCGTCCTTGTTTGTGCAGTACAGTACACCTTCGGTTCCTTCGATCAGAAGAAGTGACAAGAGGAAAAGAATACCCAAAGCCAGTTTTGTTTCCATTTCTTTGTTGAGGTATTTTCGGATTCAGTTTGCTCGGTGCGTTCGTTTGATGTGGAAGGGTAGTACAATAGGTTTTTATAGTGGAAAGATCTTGGATCATCTGCGCGATATGCGATATGACACGCGCACAATGAGAAAGCAATGACGCTGGTAAGACTACATCTTCATCGTTGTAAAAAGCTCTTAGCATGCAGCTGAACGGGATCAAATTCATATATGTGCGTGTCAAAGTCTCATGGTACTTCCGTTTAGGAAATTATTAACTTAAATCGCTCGTTTCGACCATGCAGAGGGAAATTGTCGAACGAGCATGATCAGCGCAAGTTTACTCTTTACCCGAGCTTTGAACTGATCCCCTTCGTGGTTCGGACGAAAACAAACTGTGAACGAGAGAAAAGACTCAACTTAAACAAAAGAAGGAACAAAATTTGCTCCTTCTTCCACCTGCTTTGTTTGATGAACATCAAGAAGCAAACTTCTTTGGGTAAATTCAAGTGTAATTTGAATCAAATTCCCATGCCGCTCCTGTTTTGTAAACCTTTGAATTCAAAGGCTCGGCTAAGCCATGCAGAAGAAACTTTGGCGAGCCAACATGATCCGCGTATGAGTTCAAAAACCCATTGTTGTTCTTAAGCCGAGTTGGTAACAACTTTTCCTTAGTGGTTCAAACACGAACGCACAAAAGAAAGAAAGAAATACATTTTCTATTTTTCTCGTGCATTGGCTCACCTCCAGGCCCCACACATCGCTCAAGTTAGCCATGTCATTTCATTCGAAGTACCCAACTCAGGGAGCTAAATTTGATTCGGTTCTTCAAACACGATTAAAACATGCGATGCAACATAAATGGTGTGGCAGAATCAGTCTCTAACTTTATTATAGAGCAACACATCCATGGTTATTTTTAGGTAATTTATGAGCGACAACAGGGGAGACAGGTGGAATGTACATGAGCAAGTTAGTCTCCTTCCAATGTTCCCTTTTTTTTTTACGTAGGAAAATAAAAACAAGAAATCATGGTGGTTCCTACTGTATTTAAATATTTTTTTAGATGTTGTCAATGTGGCCTCAGTTCAATGACATTTTTACAGTATATACCGATGTTTCTATTCTCGTGATGTGACGTAGACATTCAATTCAATTCAATTTATTTCTTTCTTAGCTCACGCGTTAGTAAAACTGCTGACACACGTCTCGTAACTTTCATTTCATTTCATCGTGATTTTTATTTATTCAGTAGATTTGAGAAAATTAAATTTCCTCACGGCGGTAATGAAAACAGGGACATAAGTAGTCTGGAAAGTGATCAGCCTCAAAAATTTTAATTTCAACGCTTGCTGAAAAAAAAATAATAAATCAGAGCTT